TTGTTGTTGTTGTTTTGTACAGGAATTTTAATTCAGAACTTGGCTGTTCTGGCAAGAGATCACATCCAGAGACCTTCTAGGTGGGTGTGATCTGGCTGTAATGCAGATTCACCTTTAATCTCAGGAGAGAGACGAAAGCGGATTTCTGAGTTCTAGGCCAGCCTGCTACAGAGAAAATTTCAAGTAAAGAAAAGCTTAAGTGGAGAAGTAGTGATACATGCCTTTAATACCAGCACACAGGAGACAATGGCATGCACATCTCTGAGTTATAGTCAGTTCTGTTCATGTAGTTCAGTGGAGAAAGAATTAAGGGGCAATGCATTGGAGTTGAGTTCATGGCATTTCAGTTTATTGGAATTCAGGGGCAGTCTCTATCAGGGGAGTTTTACAGAGAGGTTGAAGAGAGAACAAGCTAGACACAGATGAAGACAGAATGAGCCAGAGAATGAGAACAGGTGTTAGTTTGAGGCCAAGTGCAGCAATTCAAGGAGAAAGTGAGAGAAGCCAAATTGAATCAGTAAGCTTGGGGAGGAGTTTTCAGCCAGAACAGCTGAGTTGAACCAGCAAGCCAGAGTTCAGAAAGTACCAGCAATGGGGAGCTTATTCAGCAGTAAGTCTCAAAGGCTGAAAGCATTCTTGGCCTAAGGTTGGTCTAGAAATTTCCAGGACTACTAGGCCTAGGTTAGCAAATGAAGGCAGTATTCATCTAAGATTACAATTTAATCAAGTGAATAAAAGCTCCTTTTAGTTTTTGTTTTTATTTTCTTTAGGGGGAGGGTTCAAGGGCAGAAGGCAAATATGAAGGGATGGGGAGAGGAATGAGATTAGGGCATATGATGTGAAACTCACAAAAATAATCAATAAAATGTTTTTAAAAATTCCCTATTTCCATCAGCAGTTCTCTCTTCTGTAGGGACGCTCACTAGTTGCAGAATGAAAGAAACTACATTTTTTTTTCCAAGGCCCTCAGAACCTGTGATGTGGACATGCAAAGCTTGCTTTCATCACTGAGCGCTGTTTTTAGCTTCCTTTATAACTTTGCTGTTACACTGTGTTGGCTCTCTTCCATCCACAGTAATTAACTTCGTATAAAGGGTGTGACTGCAAACAAAAAGAACAAGGCAATTCCTCACCGCTGTATAAGATTTTTTTTTTTCTTCAATGTGTGAACCTTGCTGTTACATGCGTGGAGGAGGGTGCAGAAGGTGGTAAGATAAGGCAAGAAGTGAAGATGAGAAATTAGTGACAAGGGTTTGAGTCTTAAAAAATAGCACTTTCTGCAAGACTGCTTTGTCCTTCTCCATGACTAGTGGTTAATTTCAACAGCCTCTGTCTCCAGAAAGCATCTAAATTAGTATTGGGAGAATTAAAAAATATATATATTTATGACAAATTAAAAATTTCGACGAGATGGGAGAAAGGTACCGATATTTTATTGGCCATAGGGTACACTTGTTCAGTATGACACCAAACCTACATGCTACAGTAAATGCTCTTCTCCATCAATTAGAACAGCTATTTCAATTAGGTGGAAAGCCTGTTACCATCTCTCTTCTAGCATAGCGGGTATAGAGCTTTGCCGGGTATCATTAATTAGGCTGGAGAAAGGTAGTTGTAAACTTCGTTTCCAGTGTGATCTATAGCCCTTGCCATGTCTTGATAAGAACACTGAGTATCACTCCTTCTCAGGATGTAGAAGCAAAGGCTTAATCGGAATTCATATAAATTTTAAGTAAAACTTAACTATCCAATCTTCCAGTTCTTGAGTTGATTCTGAGAAAGCCAGATATCAAAATGCAAATTCAAATTTTTCTTGGAAAATGACTGCTTATTGTAAATATGTTCTTTTTATATGTTAAACGGAATATAATGTCAAACAGAATACCACTTAAGAAGTGGCAAGAAGTTTTCTCGTACTTTTAAAACACAGACTTTTAAAAGACCTCTATGAATAATCAGCAACTAGTAGTACTGATATTTGGGAATGGTCCAGAAAGTTAAATATCCACCCTTCTTGCCAGAAGAAGCATGACGTCCTAGCCCATGGTGAAAAGGTGTCTTGACAACAGATACCAAAAGGTTTAATAGGTATGACGCTTTGAATTAAAAAAATAACTTTAATGGGGTTTCTTTAATAATAATAATATATGCATAATCGAAAACATACAAAGGTATTAATTATGTACAATGTGACTTGTAATGGGGAAAAGTGGAGACAACTTAAATATGAAGTTACTGGAGATTGACTAATAAAAAATAGATTATTCATACAATAGATTACCACCTAGCCATTTGAGAAACATCCCATTTGAAATGAGGACATACAGGCAAAGGAAAAATGTTTCACCTTACTGGTAAAACTTTGATTAACTGTTGTCTTCTTTAATCCTTCCTCTGTTTATCAAATTCCCTTCAACACTTTTAATCTTTTAAAACAGTGGTTCTCTCTTTGTGAGTCAAGACCCTTTGGTGCCTAATGAACCTCTGGCAGGGGTCACCTAAGACCACTGGAGAACACAGACATTTACACTTACATTATGGTTTGTTACAGTAGCACAATTACACTTATTAAGTAGTAACAAAAATAGTACTATGGTTGGGGGTCACCACAACATGAGGAACTGTATTAAAGGAGCCCAGCACTGGGATGGTTGAAAGCCACTTTTTTCAAAGGTCTTATAAATTCATCTGCTGGCAGTATGAAAAAAAGTTTGAAAAAGCAAAAACAAAGAAACAAACAAACCCCTGGTTGAAGTTAACAGTTAACAGTTAACAGTGTTTACTGCTCTTGCAGAGAACCCAAATTAGGTTCATAACTACCTATACCTAAGTATAGCTCCAGCTGACCCAATGCATTCTTCTGGACTCAGAAGACATGGTGTGTACACACACAAAAACCCACACATGCACACATAATTAAAAATAAAAATAAAATATTTAAATAAAAATACATCATTAGACCTACCTTCCTAGATTGAAGTGGGAAAAGTTAATATTAAAAAAACAACAAACACCTAATACTCTGGACAAATGACATATGTGCCTGTCTTTACTACTATTTGCCTTTTGTGTTTGGTGAAAGAAAAATATCTAGGTATCCTATCCAAGCTCTCTTTTCTTTGCAAATGAAATTTCTTCGTGTAAGGCTACATCACTCTTTGTTTCCTCCCTATTTTTTTGTAATTTCACTTCATAACTGCGATTAGTTCTCTGAAGTTTGATTATCTCTGTTTGTGTCTGATCTACTTCTTCACTGTGATATCCCTGCTCCTGTGATCTGGAAAGTGTGTATGATACTTTGTTCTTCAGGATCATCTTAATTCAGAAGGTACTGAACACATGGCCACTACATGGTTGAGGGGAAGGTTTGTATTGTATATATGAATGAGAGAACAAGCAGAGACATTTGGAAGAGTCCAGAGCAGAGAGAGAGTAGTAGACTGAGAATGGTCAACGGAACTGGACCTGACCAAGAGAGAAGCAGGAGCAGAGTAGAGAGTAAGAGAAAGAGAAACAGGTTGGGGTGGGGGATGGGGGTGAGAGGAAAACCAAACCAAGGTAAAAGATGGAACCCAAGGGTACACACAGCTGAAATAGCATGATTATGAAGAGAATGAGAAGCTGGGGGAGGGGAGGGAAACTCCCGAGGCTGGGAGGAAGTTCGGTGCTTGCGCGAGAGGAGCTGAGAACAGCCAGGGACACTAAAATGCATAACAGCTTTTTGTGATGCTCAGAGTGCCTGGAAGCCAGCATGCACTTTGGTATAGTAATAGACACCACGGATCACCATTTATCCCTTCTGCTGATGGTAAAAGACATTTGTGGAGAGGAATAAGCTTTACCAGTTCTTGAGAAATGTGGCATTTATCTAACCACTAGAATTGGGGGAAATAAGAGTTTCCTTTGGACCGGATCGTTACATGAGGAGAATGTTACTAATATTACAGAATCATTGATCTGAAACTTTCAATGCAACAATGTCTATACAATGTATTATAATCAAGAGCTGCAACGTGCAGGTAGTGCGCAATTAGATACAATTCATTCCCCGCTCCGCCTGCTGCTTCTCCAGCAGCCTAGGTACCAGGAGAGAGCTAATGCAGTCTCTTTTTGCAGAACAGGCTTCCATCTTTCATAAACAGGTCAGCGGTCACACATCCCCTTAATAGTTTTGTACATGAGTAAAAAGGAGGTAGACAAGGGGGAGCCAGTTACTGAACTACGCAAGCCACTGGTGGACTAAAGCTCCAAAATAATGAGAGAGCATATTTTGATCAGAGTTTTCTTGGGTTCTGAGACGACCTACAATCAATGTAGGTTTTCCTGTAGCTCCCTTGGTATGGTCACAACAAAAGTACCTCAGGAAGACGTGATGGCCTTTCTGTGTTTAGAACTTGGTTGTCCCACATCTCCTATTGTTTTTCTATCATCTTTCTTTGCCCCATTTCATTGTCTTTTCACCCAGCAGCTGCATGCCAGGCACATGCCATGGTTAGCTAGAGAATTAAATCCGGATTTGGTAGCTTGACCTCTCCTTGACCCCAAAGAAGGCATGCAAGTTTGGGCTCCTCTTTGAAGTGTAAAACCCTGCACAGTCAAGTCTTCAAAGGGTATCTAGTTGAAGGGAGCAGGCAAAGGTGCAACAGGGCGCAGTGGGTGCTGAGGTGGAGGATCGTGTCCTGTGGCATACAACTCACGTTGGCCTGGAAAGTTGGGAGACGTGCCAAGCCCGGACCGTACAATGAAGCTCAAACTGAGCAAACTCTGAGGCGCAAGCGCATCCCCGCACCAAAGGCCCCCGCCCCCCTCCCCCGCCCCCACCTCCACGGCTCCTTCGCACAGCATCCGGGGCGTGGCCTGGCTAGGGACCGAGGGCTCGCTCCGCCCCCTTCAGCTGCTCCTTTCCAAACAACCCGGCTCTCCGCCGCTGCCCTCCGCCCATTGGCCCTGGGCCCTTTCCATTTCCACCCAGCCCTCCGAAGTCCACCAATCACCTTGCGCTATTGGGGAGACACCGCCTCCGAGGCCTTCGGAGGTGCTCATCGGCCGCCTTGGGCTGCTGCCTCCGCTGCTGCCTCCTCCTTCCCTCCTCCGTCCGGGGAGAGACCGCGGGGCCGGAGGGGCGGCTGCGGCGGCGGCAGCGCGATGGAGGAGCCGGGGCCGGGCGGCCGAGGCGCAGCGCGCGGACAGCGGCCCCCGAGCGCCGCGCAGCCCCGAGAGCAGGAGCGGAAGCTGGAGCAGGAGAAGCTGTCCGGGGTGGTGAAGAGCGTCCACCGGCGGCTCCGCAAGAAGTACCGCGAAGGTAAACAGGCGGCGGGGGAGGGGAGGCGCATCCCCCGGCTGGGTCAGCTCTTTTCAGCCCCACGGGCCACCATTGACACACACGGGGGCGGCACGTCTGCCCTGGCCGCCGGCAGCCGGCCGCCTGCTACCGGCGCCCGGAGCCCCAATGGGCAGTCGCCACCCGCCTAGGCCCTGTCCCCAGCGGTGTGCTGAGACCACTGTCACCGAGCACACACTCGGAGGTAGGGAGGGAGGGGCTTTTCAGGTAAGATCTCCAGACCGGGGAAACGTCCACCGAGCGAGGAGACTGTCAGAAGGGACGAAGGCCCTCACTCTCCTGCAGTGGACCAGCCTGTTGTTCTGCCCGCTTGGCAACAGCCCCTCTTCCTCTTCGCTCCTTGGCAAGGCCGTGCCGAGGCCTCCCCCGCCTGGGCTCCCAGGGCTGCGAAGTCAACAGGCCAAGCAGAGGATCTCAAGGTGCTTCACCTGTTTTACCGGGGAAAGGGGGTAGCAGGCAACACTCCTTCACCGCAGCTCAATCTCCAAGTTTGTGGAAACAGTCAAAGAAGAGAGATCTGGCGCAGGCTCTTAGGATAGTGGGCAGTTTTGAATAGTCTCGAAGCACAGAGACTCAGAAAGACACGGATGCCATTGAAGCCAGCCTTAGGTACGGCCCCCTACGTGGAAGCCGCTTTACTGGCTTGTGCTTACGCCGGAGCACTGTCTATTGTTGAATTTTACGAGTTACCCTGGCATTTTGTAAATGGAAGGTCTCTAACAAAGCAACTTTATAAGATTCGGAAGGTGATGTTTGCATTATTCTTCATATACTCGGGGACAAAAAATTCCTCTTCTCGTGTTAAAATGAGATGCTTTCAGCGGGTTTTTTGCTTTAGCTTAATTGCAAAACGAAAACTAGGCAGCAGCGTTCTATCTAGTGTTAGTCTTTTAACTGACTAATAGCTTAAGTTAAAAGAGAAATTATGACAGTGAAGGAACAAAGACTTGTGAGATCATGTCACTTTTCAGTTACACACACTTTTCAATTACTCTGAAAGTTCAGTCGAAGTCTTTCTTTCTTGGAGTGTCATTGATTCATTTTATTTTAACGCTATTCAAAGTTTCTTTCCTTGACAAGTTAGTCCTGGCTTTTAATAGAGGCCATTTGATATCCCCAAAGATGGTTTATAGCTATTGTTTGATAGGTGCCAGTAGAAGATCCTTGGCAAGCATATTAAGGTATTGGATTTTTTTTTTTATTAAAAGGCTTTAATTCCCAACTGCAATTCAATAAAATGAGTGGTTACCATAGCAACAACTGCATCATTCTTGATAGTCACAAAATGCGCTTACATAATGGCATTCTCGTTTGGTTTTTATGTTTGGGGAAATGAGGAAATAAGTAGACCCACTTTTCTTTAATTTATCATGCCATCTTGTACAAATTTAAGGTACATCTTTTAGAAGAAAATGACTAGTATGTTTCTATTCTTAGCCTTTTTGTAATAATTTCATTGTTATTCATTATTCATTTATTCATAAACGAATAGGTTCTACTTAAATTAACACACAGCTAATGTGTCATTTTCTCTTTAAGCTGTCATTTATGCAGGCTTAGTCTCACATGTTTAAACATGTCTTTAAGCCCAAATTCCAACTAGGGTAACACTTGGTTCAAAATGAGTACTGGTACTTAGAAGCTACCAGAACTGAAAGCAATGCATGTAGTTGAGAACTGAATAGTCTGATGAGATGCTGGCCAGGTAAGCATTTGAGTGAAGCTGTTCTTTCAGCATTTTAATGCCCTGAATTCCATCAACAATCTAGGCTTCTCTAGGCTCTGCTCTACTGATACATGATACCCTATCAGTGAACTCCAAATGTAGATGATCTGAATGAGTGTGCCCCTTCCAGTGTTCACGTTTGAAGTGGGCCTAGTCTCAGTTGTTTGAATGCCTTCTGAAAATGTCTGGGCATCATACAATTATTTTTGGTGTTTTATTTTGGGGACATAGTACTGAAGGACTGGTGGTCTTCAGTCATAAATGCATTTTATAAGCTCATAACAGTTTCCTCACCGGGAAATGCAGTGAAAATTCTCACTTAAAATCTGGAATGTAAGATTATAAGAAGCCATAATTTTTATTAATGATTCTCAAGCATGGCTGATCTTAAACTGTCTGCATCTTAATCTGTCTCAGATCTACAGTGTCTACATTCCCATCATTAGGGATAGGAAACGTGTTGGCTAGATTTAATGTATAACCTAAATTAATTCTTTCATTTTTGTAGATGAGTGGACTCAGTCCTAAAAAGATCAAAGTAACTTTCACAAAGCTGACATAGTTCCTCCCTAATGCTGTCCTTTTTACGGGCGATTACAGACTTTTCCGCCCACCTCTTACCCTAATGTTGGTGACATAAATGTTAGAATATAAGAGAAAGCAGAGACTGGGAAGTAACATTAAAAGCTCGGCAAGGAAAAAGAATATAAACTGATGGGTAGGGGCTATCTATGAGAGATACATGAGTTGAATTGAGTGAAGTATATAGTTTTTAGGGATATACTGGTAATAAGCAAAATAGGTTGAGTTGAATGACAGAGGAAACGAGGCAGTTACTGAAAAGGACACAAGTAAGGGTAAAGATTGTAGGATTGGGCCGGGCAGCAGTGGCTCACACCTTTAGTTCCAGCACTCTGAGGCAGAGGCAGGTGGATCTCTGTGAGTTGGAGGCCAGCCTGGTCTGCAGAGCTAGGTCTAGGACAACCAAGGCTATACAGAGAAACCTTGTCTTGAAGAGTTTTCCTTGCTTTATCTCTGATAGTGTGTTGGGAATGCAACAGAAAGAGAAATGAGAATGGGACCTTCTTATTGTGATGGGAAAAGGCGTTTTTCCTCCTCTGCTCTAATCTGTCCAAGTGTGAAGTGTTGACAGTTATGAGCAGGCTAGGGCTGGGAAAGTGAACAGTGTCACAAAGGTAAGTAGGTGAATTTGATGTACTCTTAACCACCTTTCCACTCCGCTTTATTTTACTGCCTGCCCAGTATCGCCACTCAGAAGTCTATGCCAGTTTGTATAAGTGAAACAAGAATTGGCGAGAATGGTCAGTGTTTGAGATGGTACAATCTATCTGAATACATTACTAAAAGAAACTATGAGGACAGTTCCCAGCATTGATGATGAAGTGGATATTTTTATGTCCAGCCACTTGTAGATAGAAGACTTATAGATTAAGACTTATGTACGAAGGAAAATGTGCTTGCACAAACAGTTTTCTATCTGTGCTATCCAGAATTTTGAAATTTGATTTCCACTGCAACTTAAGATATTTTAATTAGGTCATAGGATGTATAGACAGCTTATTTATAAGAAATAGTTTAGTTTTGCTTTCCAAACAAGGACTTCGTTTTACTTGCTTAGTATGAGACCTGAACTAGCATCCTGTAGAGTTTCAGTTTTCCTTTTGCTTTTTTTGTAGTTTTGGTGTATGTGTGTGTGTTTGTGTGCATACACCTATGAAGGTCAGAGGTCAACTTGAGTTGTCTTCATCGGTTGTATCCATTTTATTTCTTTCAGACGGGTGTCTCTCTGAACCTAGAGCTCACTAATTAGGCTGAGCAGGCTGTCCGGCAGTCCTCTGATAGCAGTGGGATGATAGTTGCCTGGCCCTTTGTGTGGTGTTAGGGATCGATCGGAACATGCTTGCAAGGCGAGGACTGTGCCATCTCTCCAGCTGCCTTTTCTTTTCTAGCAAACACCTGAAATGAAAAAAAATTGTAGGGGAAAATGCTAACTTTGAATTAGAGATAATTTAGAACTAAAACCAAAATAGCCTTGAAATTAATAGAATTACCTTATAATGTTGGTGTTTTTCATGAAGTACAGTATTTGAATTGTTTTAAAAATTAGGATCGTAGATTATTTTAACTTGAACTTTTCTTTCAGTACTTTCTCCACAGCTGTGTTAATAAATATGACCCCCAAGACATTTTGCACAGGCTCTCTGTTTACTTTTTTCAAGTGCGGTTTCACAGTTTTCTTTTTATGTTTTCTCCTAGTCAATACTGATTATGATACAGAATCAGAAAATGTTGTGTGTATATGTGCACGTCTGTACACATATATGGGAGTCTTTGCTTGATTTTTAAAATAGGTAGACTCATCACCAGAAAGCCTGTTAACTTAGCCCTAGGAATTTGTTTTTTGCAGGGGGAAAAAAATGAAAGGGTAATTTCATTTAATATTAGTAACATTAAAAGAAACACTGATGCTGTTGACTGAGTGAAGAGCACATAGTAGGTTTGCAGTGCACATTACCTATTTGATTTTATCATGTGTCTTTGTGGTATCTCAGCAAGGGGGTTATAGTTCAAAAGATAAAATTTTCAGTGCAGATGTGATGGTTATTTAACAGGCTAAAAACAAAACAAACAAACAAAATCCCAAATGTTGTAGTTCTTAGCCTTGGGTCTATGACAGTTTTTATCTTTGGAACTCCGTAGGACATAAATCTGTAGTATTTTAGTGAGGTATACAGTGGACAGAGAAGTCAACACTGATGTAAAAGTACAGTAGACCAGAATAGAAGGTAAAATCTAGAAGAGAGTAGTGAGGTATCTATTCACATTCATGTGATTTAGCGATAATGAAGATACAAGTAACAGTCATGATGGTGACATAGGTAAAAATAATATTTTGAAGCGTAGATACACAGTTTTCATAAAAGTAAAGAGGAAAAGACAATGATAATGTAAAGATTCTTCGGGAAAATGTTAGTAGCCATTAAGCCTCCAGTTTAGAAATTCATTATATATGGTTGAGTAAGAGTGCTGTGGGGACAGGTAGATAGTCAGATTGGCTTAGAATTGAGCTAGAGATGGTGCTTAAGTAGAGATGTATTTTTTTTAAGTTGAAGATTGGAAGCCCTTTATACTGAGGAAAAGAAAGACAGACAAAAAAACTGCCAAGAAGAGTGTGATGGCGTGGTAAGTAATGCTTGGGGACAGTTGAAGGGCA